AGCATGCTCTAAGGAGAAAGGGAACACCGTTGGGAAGAGTGTTACATCTAGTCCTTTAAGAGCCATAGTTGTAGAGAAAGCCTTCAAATGGAACATTGGGTTGTCAGTAGGCTTGAACTTTGGTATATCAGCAGTGGAGAATTTTTCCAGGAGCTTGTCCTTCACAGCCAAAGAAGTGACAGGTTGTTCCACATAGGTGAAGTCCTCATAAATCTTGCTCACTTGATCTTTGATCCTGTCAACTACAGCAACAGTGACCTTGGTTTGTTCCATGGTATTGACTTGGGCAGTGAGTTTTTGCATCATGGTAGAAAGTGCCTCGATGGACTTGTGAATTCCCTCAATATCTTCTTTGGTGGCCATTGGAATGAATTGAAAGTAGTTTGAAGGTGATAGTTGATGTGGAGATGACGAAATCTTCTTTGAACGCCTCTTAGGTCTAAGAGGTTGTTGCAGTAGTGACTCGAACCATACCAATCTACCGCTGCTTCTTGACCAAGTATTGTGATGTAAAACAAATTCATTTAATGGTTTGACTCACTTCTCAAAAAGAAGGGAGGAAAGGACAGAATTTGGAAAACAAGTGAGAAGAACTCCACTCATTCTTTATTGTGACGGAAAAAGGAGACACATGCATGAACCAAGTGTACGATCAGAAACGACATGGTGCACGACTCGAGTCGGACATAAAAAAGTGTGTGGACTATACTTGACTCGTGAGTGATTAGGTGATGTTATAAGACTCGTGGTATGATCGCATGGCTAGACATGTAAACAGTAACAAGACGAGTAACGCGAGGACCAAAATAACACGATAGAATAAAATATGAGCTGACTGGACTATTCCCTGGGTACCGCGCCGCGGTACAACTGTCGTGGCACGACAGAATATACCGTGGTGCGGTACAAACTGCCCTGACACGGTAAGTAGTTCCAAGCTCTATTTGTCTATTTTTCCAGCTTTTGTCAATTTTAGAGTTTGCGCTAATTACTTAGTGAGTACAGTCCATTGGCATTCATTAGAAATAAACCAACACCATAGATGAAGAACGATCATTAAGGTTAGGATTAAACAATCAAAGATGCACACATAGGGCACGTAGTCATAATGGTGCAATGAAGTTCGTAACCTAAGGTCAAGTTCTATGTTCCACTATGGTCAAGCTTTTTGGTGTCAAAAGGGTACCATGGTTAAGAGTTTGGATGCGTTAGCAAGGCAGCCTCCCTTAAGGGTGTATGCCAACGGGCGGCTCCGCAAGTTTGTGATTAAATCAAACTCGACTCCATGGTTTGGGTGGATTTAATAACTCGGATGAACCCTTATTGCCGTGAACGTTTTCGGGTTGATAGAACTTAAATCCCCCGGGGCTAAAACGTATGTAGAACACATACGGTTTTTCAGAAAAATCAAAGGAAGCTAACAACGAGAAAAAAGCAGAACCACAGAAAACATTTCAGGACTGTCGCGCCACGACATAAATTGTCGTGCCACGGTAAAAATTGTCGCGTCACATCAAACTCTGCCGCGTCACGGCAAACTCTTCCGTGCCACGACAGTTCTGCCATTGCGCGGTAGTCAAGAAATTTTAATTTGTGCCTCTGTTCTTTATCGCAATCAGGTAATTCAATTTTTCCTACGAGGTGAACCTAAATACGACGTTAAAACGTCAACGCATAAGCAAAAAATGCCAAATTATTCATAGGAATACGATTCAAGAATCTTTCAAGTCTCATCAAACTCATCTTAATTAAATATCAATCACTCAAATCGATAAATAACCAAGAATCCTCACCAGTGGAGTCGCCAAATTGTAGGCGTCGTTCGAAGTGCGCCTACACTAAGCATGTGGTGAATATGCTTGGCACTCATAGGAAGTGGGAATTGACATACGATTAGGGACAAAGCAAAGTAGGGAGCTACCAACAAGTTTCTAAGGAACTTGTAAAACGTTCACGGATCATTTAAGGCAACCACGAATAAGGGACAACGATAGGCAATAACGATTGACCCTGAAGGTCATTCATAATCCATGAGATTACTAACTCCATATGGTTCAAAACCATGAAAGCATGATCGGGGATGATGATACGAAGTGAGTCATGGAGTTACATTTGCCCGTATTGGCCTCTACTCGATTCTTATTGTGAAAAGTATTTTCTGCTATCTCAAAGGCATACAAACAAAGATTCAATTTGCTCCAAACTATTATTAGGCGAAATTTCTTGAATGCTAATGCAACATATGATTCTAAATATTATGATCATTTGATTAAACAACAAGATTAAAAAGGATCCTAAACCGGTCATCCAAATTATCTTATTAAGCATGATATTCAATTACATATTCCCTTTAAACATGCAATATGGTGATCAATAAATATAATAAAAATAACATCAACATTGGAAGCAATTTAACCATAAAAATAACGATTAGTATATGAAAAACATAACAAAAACCGTTAGAAATATAACAGGAACAAAAAGAACATGATTCCTTACTTTGATTGCGTTTGCTTGATTATAAAACAATAAACGCGTTAGTAACTTCAAGGAAAATTAATAAACAATAATGGAAATTAAATCAAATTAAAGTAAAGTTGATTTGGGGCTAAACCCTTAAACAGTTCTATCTTTCACGCCTTGGTTTAAGTTTAACACTTCGGGTAAAGTACGGACTCCAAGAAGTGCTTAAGGGATGTATTGTGAAAGAATAGGGAAGGCTAGTATTTAGGCTAGAGCATGATAGAGAAAGAGAGAATGATTTGGTGCATAAGAGAGAAAGAGAGAAATGATTGGTGCCCCAAAACTGAGAAATCAGCCTCGTATTTATAGAGAAAATATAAGGGGTGAGGTACGGAACCCTAGAATTGAAGGCGCCACAAAACAAAACCCTAGAAAATTGTCGTGTCGCGGCATTTGTGTTTTCCAGAAATCCGTCCAAATTCATTTAACCTTTTTTCTTAAGCATTAAGCACGCGATAATTGGCGTCGTTTCAGCTGTTCCAGACTTATTTCAGGCTTAGGGTTTGATTATTTATTAATTGGACTTAATTAATAAATAACACGAAATGAATTAAAAAGAAATTGGGTTGAAATGCGAGTTGGACTGAAATTGATTAAATGTTTGAACTGATTTGTGGACTGACTATGTTTGACTGAATATGGATTTTAAGCACTCTCGAGATTAAATACTCGACCCGACCAATAATGGCGGTGAAAGGTTGTTTATCATCGGGTTTGGTTTTGGGGAGACATTTTTAGGTGTCTACACACCCCTATACCAACAGACCCGCAATGCCACAAATTTGCAAAAAGAATCTTCCGAATTTGTATCCCTGCACACACGAAAAACAAATAAACAAACAATACTAAACATCTCACCATTAGGAAAGTGACTAAACCCTACATGGAGGGACTGACTATAATCACCATATTGTTGGTGAGCTTTATTGGCTAAAAGTCTAAAACCATTAAATTGAAGAAAAATTTGGGGCTTACCATCGATAAAAATCGATGGCAACCCCTAAGTTTTACTATGGTGGCTAGGTTTGAAGAGAGAAAACAGAGAAGTTTTTTAGGATTTTTTTTGGAGGCTTGAATTCTTTATAGTTTTAGGCAATTTAATTAACTTAAATAAAATTAGAGGTAAGTAAGGGTAGTTAGAGTATTAAAAAATTGTAAAAGAAAAATAGTGAGGTTAATAGTTTATTGAAAAGTAAAATGTGAGAAAATAAATAATAAAAAAAAGTAGTACTGGGTTTGGGTGGTGACCATGAAAGGAGAAAGATATAATATTCCAATGTAGTTTTTTTGTCAAAAAAAGAAGTGTAACACTTATTAAAATAAGACCGTATTTGGTAAGTATAACACTTATTTAAAAAAACGGAGGAAGTACAAAGAACCTTTATGGTATGACTTTTGAGGAAAAGGACCTTGTAAAAAACAAGTGGTAAATAAGAACGTCTTATCACGTTTAGGTTGTGAGAAAGAACCTTTACTAGTTTACTTGTTTTCCAATAATTGACTTTTTTTTCTAGTGTTGACTATCACGTGTTAGGCATGTGATTTTAAAATAAAGACTCCATTTCTATAATTTCAAGAGTTAAACTAGTCATTTTGGTTCTTAAAGATTCTAATTTATGGTCAAAAATTACCAAATATGCCTTGTTTTACATGCTAAACATTGCCTCAGTTTAGGTACATTTCGTGTTTCGGGTCCAGTTCAACTCGTCGTTTCAAGTCCCGTTAGAGCATGTGCAATGGAGGAGATTCACCCTCCTCTTAGCCTTCTCTCTCCTCTTAAGAGGAATCCCCTTCATTGTAGAGGTGAAATGGGGAGTCCTCTTAGGAAGAGGAATATGGTAAATCCTCTTTGGGAAGAGGAAGAAGAGATGGGAAGGGGGATTGGAAAAGGTGGGGAAGGGGACAAGCAAGAGCGACGTGGCAACTTCCTGCTGGTTGGCCGGGCTGGCAGGGGCCCACGTGTTGCTTGCTTTTGCTGACATTTGTTGTTTTGTAATTGGTTGACATTTACAACGGTTAAAATTATTCAAACGGTAATAAAAAAAACGATAACTTATTTTTTTTTTTAAAAAAAAAAACAAAAACACCAACGGTTATATTTTTTTTTTCTCTATAAAATGAACCAAAATTTGCCATATTTTCAATATCTTTTTACATAATGTATTGCAATGTTTCTTTCTAACTATTTATTATATGTGTGACGACTGTTCTATTTACTAATTATGCATTTTAAATTATCATTAATTGTACATTTTTGTAATATATTAAAATTGTCATTAATCTAATTATAATAATTTGTGATATTAAATTTGCAAATATCTAATTTAATAGAAGATGGTGGGGCATAAAAATAGAAAGGAAGGGGATTCATGAATCCCCTTTGTTGTGGGAAAAAATAAAGAAAGAGGAAGAGGATGGAGATAGTGGAAAATGATGTGGAAGAAAGAGAAATGATGTGTCAAAAAGAGAGAATGAGAGAGAAGAATTAAGGGGATTCATGAATCCCCACCATTGTACATGTTCTTAGAGTTTTGGGTACAATGCAAGTCTGCCAAGTTTAGTTTACTACCACCATTACAAATTATTTGCAACGTTTAGATATTTTCTATTCACACTTTAATCGTTGTAAATAAATTGTAACGAAGTTAGTAGTATTATTTTATGGGCAAAATTAGTTGAAACATTAAATCTAAGTACATTGTCGTCACGCATCACTATTCACAACGTAACGTAATTTTTTTTAAAACAAACAGAACGTTTTAACTTATTAACGATTTAAATTTATACACGTCCAAACTGCTTGACAAGGTGGTCTTCAATTTCTATTCGCTTCCTCATCAGCATTGCATATTTTGATGACAAAATTGGGTCCCCAGCATTCACAGAAAGCTTAGAACTGAGAGATGTCTTCTCCAACCGGTCTTCGTACAACATCCGAACAGGAACAAAACTCCCCCTTTTGTGGCATGTCCAACCATGGGCAGCTCTAAGTGCAGCTCCCATGGATGCTGAATCTATGAAGACATACAAGAAGTTTTTTTTAACAAATGACAGGTATTTGTCCAAGGCTCGACACTCTATCACAATTATAAACAGCTTTAAGAATTAAAATTGAATTCCTACTATTTACCTGGCCTTGGGACAGTATGTACATCACATCCAAATATAGAAGCAATAGCATTAAGAATGCACTCGTTTGATGATGCTCCACCTGTGGCTATTAGGCGCTTTGGTGGAAGAACCATCCCTACTCTTTCAGCATGTGCTCGCATAGATAGCAGCTGACCCTCTATTAGTGCTCGGACCTGCAATAGCACCTTTCTTATGTGGGAGGATATACTCAATATCATTATCAAAGTCTAAACAGACTTTGCACGCTTACTAAGGACTTGTATGGTAAATTGACGAGTTTTTCCCGCATTTAGTTAAGAATATGAACCTCAAACGGAGCATCAAACTCTTGCATCTCCTGTGCAATCACACCATCCATACTATCACTTGCGAAATTTTTAAGAGCATATCTGTGGAAACCAACTTGTTAATGTATGAAGAAAAGAGTTAGTTATTTGTATTTCATCTCTTCAGTAACAGTGAGAGATTAAGATATTACATAAATGCTTTATTCTGTCAAAAAATAGTACTTCTACAAAATCCTAACTTTGGAATTGCTACACATAAATCTATTATAGACATAACACAGGGTCATCAGTATATTATAAGAAAGTAAACTGGTGAATAACACCTAATGCCTTCTCGTTCTCCAAGGATCTGGACTTACTAGTCACAATAATTTATTTGACCAAATTGAACGAGGGAAAGATTCAGTGGGAAAAGATGTCTAGTTTATAGCCATGTACAAAGTGTTAAAGACAACAGAATAGTATTTACCAGGTAGAGGAGGAAGAATTTCATGCTCTTTGTAGTAAAATCCCAACTTCCCTTCTACACATGTAAGAAACATAGATCAGGTTAATTACTTTCACAGCATGGCTATTAAAGATGGAATGGATACACACCATTAAGAGGCGGCGTTTGCTGCAGATACTTGTTAAAAACTTCCCAAGAATTCTCTGCATATCGGTTGCGGATATCTAGTCAAGAATAAGTGCTCACAACATTAGTTTGCTATTAGTTTACATACCTTTCAACAACAAATTTTAAAGCACAAGGGAGTAACATCGCACACCTTCCCTAGTAAGAGATCCATTCTTGTAGACTAGCATCACCATATAGCCTTTTGTGTCAACAGGATTTGGGAAAACATGGCTTTCTAAGCAAGGTTGAGGATCATCAATTATTCCAAATACCTGTCAAAAAAGGCCAATTAAGCATATTGGTATAAAAGTTAGCACCCTTAAAATATATTGGTATAAAAGTTATCATCGGCGACAAATTGGTATAAAAGTTAGCAAGTGGCGACGGATTAATATAAAAGTTAACAAGTGGCGACTTATTGGTATAATAATAAGTGGCGACATATTGGTATAAAAGTTAATGAGTGAAAACATTTAACCCTTTTTTCTTGTCATAACAAATTGTACTCATCATTATTCTTAAATTTGTAACTTTAGTCTATTGTTTTCTTTTCTTTTCTTTACTTTTATCTGCTTTAGATATTCATTAAATATTTCTTGGACTGATAAAAAAAATAAAATCCAAAGAATAAAAAAGAAAGAAAAAAAGGAAATAAAAAAATATAAAGGGAAATTCAAGATCATGTATAAGAATTATAAGTTCAGAATCACATTGAGCTTTCCTTTTTTGGCAATATATTATATTTTACAAATAAATTTGTTCCCATTTTCTAAACAATTTACAAGTTCATTTCAACTACTTTTGAGACATTAATTCCTATGAATTTCTCTTCCCTTTCAATTTTTGAGATTTTTAATTTGTTTACTCATACAATTTTTTTTGTAATTGTTTTTTCACTAATCTTAGGTGTATGGGCATGAAGGAAAGAAGTATTTGACATTAAATAAGAATTAACAACAGCAACAAAATTGAAAAAGTTAAAACTAAAAATAAAATAAAATTAAGCACTTGCTCTGGCAAAAAAAAAAGGGACAAATGTCATAACTTGTTAACTTATATGTCAATTTGTTGCAACTTGATAGATTTTATACCAATTTGTCACCAATAATAATTTTATACCAATGTATCGCAAAGGTGCTAACTTTTACCAATGTGGTCAATTTATGAGGAAAAAAAAGTGACACTATTAAGTGATAAATGTACTGAATACTACCTGTAAAAAAAACATTTACGACTGTAATTAACGGTCTTTAGAACACTTTTCTACCTAAATATTCCCTTAATTCTGTCCCTTTCTCGTGCATTTATCCCCAATCTTTGTGCTTTAAGCAACTTTGCAAGTTTTCATTAGTTTCGTCCCTTCTTCTTACTTTGCTTAGAATTACATGATATTCCTTGATTTACACCCTTAGTTCCTTAATATTCTTGCATTTCCCTTCTGCTCACGAGCTTTGTGCGAGCCCTTTAGTGTAAGTTGCCTCAGAGACCTCATATCGTGAACCTGATGTGAAGTTAGAGGCTAGGAGGAAAGTCATTTGAGAGCAAAACAAGGGAGGAGCGACTGCACAACTCAGAGGAGCGCCAGCTCCGTTCAAGAGCAAAAACAAACTTTGGAGCAGTAAGCTGAAGCATCCGCTCCAGCCAGCGTTAGGGGCCTGTGAAGACCCGCTGGAGCGTCCGCTCCATTGGGTAATTATCGGGATTTCTCGAGCTGTTTTGAGCCATTTATGTTGGGATATTTAGGGATATAAAGTGCTAATATCATGTAATTAAGAATTATCAGATTTTTAATCTTCGGAATAGAGATTAGTGTTAATTTTTAGGTACTAGATAGAGAAGTAGTCTCCGTTGTTGTTTTTTTTTTTTTTTTTTTTTTTTTTTTTTTTTTTTTTTTTTTTTTTTTTTTTTTTGTTTTTTAACCTTAGCATTCAATAAAATATCTTCCAATTTTCAGTAATTTCTTACTCTCTTCTCTTATTTTACTTTCTTAATTTGGTAGATTAGTTGCTAATTGCTTCATTAACTATTTGTTAATCATTGATTAATGTTTCAATATCTAGCTAGTCATGTTTGGTTTGATTGGTTAAATTCTTTATGATTATGAGGATCTCTTTCCTTATTCTACGCTAGATTTTTAGCTAGCATAGGGGGTGAAGGGTGTAGTAATGGACGGTATTAAATGATTATGATTAATTTGTGATTGATCTTCTACTTGCAATACTGGATGATGGCATATCTGCTTGAGGACTTTCTAACTAATTGTTATCTTGTTATAAATTGTTCTTAGGCTAGTTGTAAGGGGGCAAGCTAGTATAGAGCATTAATTTATCCAATATTAGGCTTGATTAGTTGCGCTGGGAGTGAGTCAGTCTAGAGCATTAGTTTACCCAACATTAGGCCCGATTAGTTGGCCGAGAGTGAGCTTATTGAGTAGGGGGTTTGCATGTCTTAATACGTGGGAGTAATCTAGTATGTTGATTTCCCTTGGTAGTGATTATGATCATTTTAATAATCATAATTAAATTGAATGTATTGCTACGGTTGGAACTCCCTTTACCTAGTGCTTTTGTCCATTGAATTTCCTTTGCTTGTTTAATTTAGATTGCTAGTTTAATCTTCCTACAATTTTAGTCTAAATTTCCAAAAACCAAAAAAACACATTATCATCGGCTTGGCTTTATCTGAATTTAGGTATACTCTTACTTGCTTCCCTTAGGAGAGATGACCCTTGCTTGCTACTATATTTAGGATAGTAGAGATTAGGATTAATTTGGTTTGGAAGGAATCACAATGACCTATTTCTGCTAATCAAATTAAGACAAGTAGTATAAGAAAGATGTCCACTCACCGTGTCACTTGTGCCAAGACTTATTGCAAGATCACCATAGTTGAGTGTCAAACCTGCCATCAAAACACAACAAAGCAATGCGATTGATCTGAGATGCCAACAGTTTATTTATGAATGGAGACATGGCATATGATAACAGACCCAAGAATTGATGATACAAACGAAACATAATTAAATACTATAGTCCAAAGCCAGATACAAAAACAAAAGTCCTGACGATTTAAGTTGTAGGTTGTGCAATTAATTGATCTGGAAGTGCACACAACTTAAGTTATAACCAATTATAAGAATAACTTTTTTATAAGAAATAAGATTCAATGACCATATATAGGAAGTTTAGGAAATACCTCCGTTTCGTGATGATCTTAACACTTTCCATTTAAGCTTTATTCTATTTTTGGGACACACATTTCACACTTATTCCCTTACCCCACAACACGTACACCTTTTCACTCATTTTCCATTATTTTATCCACCTTTTTCTTACACCCAAACACCTTTTTACATTATCTCTTGTACTTTATCCACCTTTTCTTACACTCACCACATCAACACTTTCTTCTATTGTCTTAAATTATATGAAAATAGCAAGTGTTAAGTTCATTATGTAATAAAGGTAGTACATATGATTACAATATAGGAGGAATGAGGCATGTCATGATAAAATTAGAACAATATCAAAGCCTTAATCCCAATCATGGAGTAGGCTACATGAACCAAGAATTTATCTCCGGTGGTCATCAACCATGATCCTCTCCATCTGTTCTCTCTTCCATAAAATACGGTAGAAAATTAAAAACCTTCTTCACAACACTGAATTTTTTTTCACTAGTTAGGCAACGGTTACAGAATTATAAGCCATTGCTATAGACAAGATCCAAAACACTTTTTGTTTTACGCTCTAATTTTCTTACAATGCATTTTTTCTTAGCATTGACAATGAGATGAATATTAAAAATCACATTCATTTTATACTGGACCAGTAAACCTTAGATACCGATGTAATCCATCAGCATGCATTAATTTTCTCGTTGAGGAGGCTTGGTTTTTTACAACCTCAACAAATTTAATATTCGTGTCATCAAAACTTTTATCTAAACATAAGTATTAGAGAGAATAGATTTAGCTATAAATAAGCTAACCAACCAACTAAAAACCAAAACAAATAATCACAGTAGATCAACGCGTAGAAACTGAGAATTCTAAGGTGCACGATAACTTGTTATTTGTATGAATTTTGAGTGTATTTTGACCCTTGATTTTGTGAAAAATAAACCTCCTAGATCTGTATATTTTATGCTTTACGGGGTTGTTCATGTTTTTTATTACATATCAAAGTTTAGAGGCATCCCTTGAAGCTATTGAAAGAAGCAAGCAAAGAAGAATGATGAAGGAAATCCAAGAAGAAGAGTGACACAGACGTGCCACATTGAGTACATCCGTGCTCACACTGGCAGAAGTTGGCAGGAACTTGAATTGAAGACCTCTCAGGCTGATTCCAGCATGGATGCAGAAGCAACTGCCTTGGCATTCCTGTAGTGGCCTCACGACTTCTTTTTCCGACAGTTTTATTGAACGGTAATATAAAATACCCCTTTGCTCCTTTTGTACGGATATTCAGCTTTTTTAAGGTCCTTTCTCTTAGTTTTTGCTTAGAAATTAAAACTCTCAATTATTAGTTAGTGTTTAGGCCTAGTCCATGTCCTAAGCCCAATGAACCTGAAATGCCGAAAATACCCCTCCATGATCCAGCCCATCATAACCATCCATTAATCATCACAAAGTACAAATTTACCCCTAAACTATCCAATAAAGTACAGCTTTGCCACCGGAAAGTACATCTATAAATAGCCAACTAATGATTAATGATGGTAACTTTTTCAAATCTCTCTCGTTCTCTCTCTTTGCTCTCTCTCTCTCTAAAAAGTACTCTCTCTCTACTTTCTTTCTTGAAAGTACGTTTCGCTGACTTAAGCAACAGAAGGGCTTTCCCAGGTCAACCTGCGGAGCTCTTAGACACTCTTGCAAGGCACAGCTACCTTTAGACAATTGGACATATAGAATCTAAGGCATCTTGATACCCGAAATACCCTAACACTCCCACGAGAAATCTGTTTCTAGAAACAGGTGACGCCATATGTGGGGATAACAAACAAAAAGCTATGGTGAATACTAGGCGTCCCCGACCATATCAAGATGCCACTAGGTAAGCTTCAGTTCTCTCAGATCGGCATAATCATATAGTCGAGGAAATTGTACCACGAGCTCAAAGTGAACCCATAGGGGAGGTGACTGGCCCTCAACTAGTCACTCGTCGGGACTTAGAGTAGCTTGCAGCCCAAATCAACAAAAACCTTGAAGAGAGCTTGAGAGCACTTGTCAACCAGGGCGGAGAGCAAGGTAGGCTGGGGAACGCTCCATAGCCTAGCCCTCAGCTTCACTTGTCTCAGCCCCATCAAGCATCCTCTCAGCTTCACCACCAAGAATCTCGTTAGTCGCGACCACATCAATCTCCGATAGCACGACGAGAGTCAACCAGCTCAACCGGCAGTAATCAATGATCAAAGGCTGAAGGAAGGAATGTTGGATACCCGTGATATAATCAATTCAAGGCGGGAAAATTCTAAGGATAAAGATGATCCACCCCAAGGAGGTTGAACCGGAGTTCACTCTCAACATGGTTCAACTAGGTACTGATTAGGGGAATTTGCTCCCACCAATCGGAATGCGCCACGTGGGCCAATCAGGTCCTGCCAAGTGTCCCCCAGTTGGACCTCTCAGGGCTTGCCACGTGGCACACGCTTATTCGTCCACCCTGGACCTATTATGTCATGACACGTGGCATACTTCATGCCTAATGGAGAAGTCGGCCACCTAGGCCCAACTTCCGAGGGAAGCCCAATCAGCCCAAGGTTAACCTAAACCTAGATTGGCACGTTTCCCGAGGTTATAAATACCTCCCTTAATCCTCATTAAGGGGGATTACGCAGATTACACACATAAAACACTCTCACCTAGAGAGACCCAATCACTTTAATTTCCGCATTAATTACTCCTTAATCAAGTACTAACTTGACCGTCGGAGGCGGATCTCCAATCATCCGGAGCATCCGTTTGTTTTGCAGGTACAGGCGTCCGGTTCCAGTCTCGGAATTGTAACTCTCCCGCAGGACATCAGAAAACCCCGAAACATTTTGGCGCCGTCTGTGGGGAGAGTACTTCTGAGATGGCATCCACGTTTGTACCGGCTCCTGAAGAGAGACGTCCCCTGGACGACCCTCTAGTTCAGTCGGACCACGATACTGAGAATGAATTTGAAGTTGAAGCTCACACAGCTTCAGACGGGACCCTAAGGGCCCGACGTACCCGTCATACCGAAAGGAGGGAACGGGAACATCTTCAAACTGGAAGCGAGCCAGCAGGCGCACCGCCTGTTCGGCAGCAGCCGACTGATGGGTCTGCTCCCATCACAAGGAACGAACTCATGACCTTCATGAGGGACTTCAAGGGAGAAATTCAAGAGTTGATCAACAAGAAGCCGCCTGCTCTGGACAAGGAGCAGTCGGCTAAGAAACCCTCCACTTCACGGAAGAGGAAGCCAGTTCAAGGGCGAGAGGCGACCCCTCATCCTAAATCTAGGAAGTGGGAGCCACCTGCCCTTGATTTCACAAAATACCGTTTTCCTACTCCAGGAAATAGGAAACTTGTTCGTCATATTCAGGCGGACGGGTCGAGGAAAAAATACACAGACGCTCGGCTACTGCTAGAGCAGAAGAAGAGTGACCGATTGTCAGAGTCGGCCTCTACTTCAAACTTCCAAGACAGTCTGCGAAATACCTCGATGAGGCATACTCAGTCGTATCATGAGAGTCAGTCAGGCGGCACCTCCCGTCAGTCCGGCTTTCATAGCGACCGGGCGGTACCAAACTTACCGTTTGTACCGCAACAACAGTATTTTTTGCAGCCACCTCCGTTTGGTGGACATGCAGCAAAAAATGTCCAACCTATGGACTGGCAGCTACGGTTGCTTAGACTTGGCGAACAGCCGTCGGCCTTCTCCAAGGAAATTACTGAAGCCGCTCAGCCGGCCAAAGTGAAAAATGTATTAGTAGGCGCCTATGACGGCACTACTAACCCAGAAGACCATCTGATGGCATTCACCAACCTGATGTACCTTCAAGGGTTGGATGATCCCACTTGGTGCAAGTGTTTCCCAGCGACTCTCAAAGGAATTGCACAACAATGGTTCGGCAACCTGCCGACTGGTTGTGTAAATAACTTCAAAACGCTTGCTTACTTATTCACCTCCAACTTCGCCATGAACATCCCTGCGAAGAAGACGACCCTTGATTTAGGAACAATTCAGCAGGGCCCTCCAAATATTCATTTCCTGAGATTGTCATCACTGAAGAAGATCTAGGAGGGGTAAGAGGGCCGCATGACGACCCTATCGTTATTGAATGTAAAGTGGCCAACCAGAGAGTTGGCTGAATCCTTATAGATACCGGAAGCTCCTCAGATCTCATCAGTAGCAAATGTCTGTCGAAACTGAAATATCAGACTGATTGCATACATCCGGCATCCCACCCTTTAGTAGGGTTTGGAGGAGGAGTCGTCCACCCAGTGGGACGAGTGGATTTACCCATCCGCCTGGGTGAAAAAGGGGAAGGACGACACATGGTAGTCCGGTTCCTGGTAGTAGAAGAACTCTCGGCCTACAACATGATTCTGGGACGACCAACCCTGAATAATTCCAAGGCTGTTATAATCCCATCTCTTATGTTGCTCAAGTTTGAGAGGGATAATGGAACAGTCGGGTCCCTAAGGGGAGATCAGAGGATGGCCCGAGAGTGCTATCTCTCGGATGTCAAGCCCACTGTTATGGCCGCTGGGTCGAGTGGGGGAAAAATAGACCTTGACAATGTCAAGGAGAGTGCGCCTGTTCAAGAAGCAGGCGGCAAGAAGAGAAAGGCATCCCAGACGGGGGCCGCAAGAAAAGACAGAAAATAGCAATCATTGGCAGAGGAGCGGTCGGATGAATTCCACCCTCAGC